ATGATGAGGAAGACGATGGGTCTCCCGCTCCTCTTCCTTTGCCCCTCCCTCTTCTCTCTTCTCGCTCCTTTGTCTCACCCTACTCGACGCAGCGGTGACTGCAGCGCGGCCGTTCAAGGTTGAATGCCACTAGTGGCTTGGGATCGGCGTATCGAACCATCTGCGCTAACGGCTCGGGATGCACAACAACCTGGCCTCGCTGAAGTGGTCTACACCCCTGAAGGTTGCGAAAAAGTTACGACGTCGGAGATCTGGTGTGGGGACGTGAAGCTGTCAGGCCGAAGCAGCAGGCCCCCCCCGCGTCTGGTTAGGGATTCCTGCTTGGAAAACTAACCACTCCTAGATTGCCCTCTCATCCTTGGTCTGGTGAGGGGTTCCTCGATCTTGAAATGCTTCCCTCCCCTCCCTTCCCACACCTCTGCCGGCGTAAATTCTCTCACCGCGCTGGACCCCAGAGGTCTAGACTGCTTCCCGGTTTCCCGGGCTGGTTTTGCAGCCCCAGTCCCTCTTGAATTGGACCGAGGGCTCCGTGAGGGCCCCCCAGAGGTTGAAAACGGCCCAAAACCTCAACTCGTATTTTTTTGTTTTCCTCGCGACGAGAGGAGGTCTGGTTTCGGCGACACCCAAACGTGCTAATGTTAAGTCGGGCGTGTCCCTCTGCAGGGGGAATCATGAAAATTATCCCGGCAAAGCAACTTAACAGCGATGTGTAGAAGCATATCTGGAAGCATTCCCCTGAAGATTCAGATGAGAATCCAGTTGTAGAATTCTGCTGTTCTCGCAGTCGCAGTCGCATTCGCGATGACAGTCGCAGTGGCAACGGCAGTCGCAGTCACAGCCTCAGCCTCAGCCTGCCTCAGCATCAGCCTGTCTCAGTCTAAGCATCAACCTGCCTCAGTCTCAGCCTCAGCCTGCCTCAGCCTCAGCCTCAGCCTCAGCCTGCTTCAGCCTCAGCCTCAGTCTGCCTTCAGCCTCGGCCTCAGCCTCAGCCTGCCTCTGCCTCAGCCTGCACCAGCCTCAGCCTCAGCCTCAGCCTGCCTCAGCCTCAGCCTGCTGCGCTCCCGCATAGTCCTGCGGCCTCAGCCTGCCTCAGCCTCAGCCTGCATCAGCATCAGCCTCAGCCTCAGCCTCAGCCTGCCTCGGCCTCAGCCTGCTGCGCTCCCGCATAGTCCTGCGGCCTCAACCTGCCTCAGCCTCATCCTCAGCCTCAGCCTCAGCCTCAGCCTCAGCCTGCCTCAGCCTCAGCCTGCTGCGCTCCCGCATAGTCCTGCGGTCTCAGCCTGCCTCAGCCTCAGCCTGCATCAGCCTCAGCCTCAGCCTCAGCCTGCCTCAGCCTCAGCCTGCTGCGCTCCCGCATAGTCCTGCGGCCTCAGCCTGCCTCAGCCTCAGCCTGCATCAGCCTCAGCCTCAGCCTGCCTCAGCCTCAGCCTGCTGCGCTCCCGCATAGTCCTGCGGCCTCAGCCTGCCTCAGCCTCAGCCTGCATCAGCCTCAGCCTCAGCCTGCCTCAGCCTCAGCCTGCTGCGCTCCCGCATAGTCCTGCGGCCTCAGCCTGCCTCAGCCTCAGCCTGCATCAGCCTCAGCCTCAGCCTCAGCCTGCCTCAGCCTCAATCTGCTGCGCTCCCGCATAGTCCTGCGGCCTCAGCCTCAGCCTGCCTCAGCCTCAACCTGCATCAGCCTCAGCCTCAGCCTCAGCCTGCCTCAGCCTCAGCCTGCTGCGCTCCCGCATAGTCCTGCGGCCTCAGCCTGCCTCAGCCTCAGCCTGCATCAGCCTCAGCCTCAGCCTCAGCCTCAGCCTCGGCCTCAGCCTGCTGCGCTCCCGCATAATCCTGCGGCCTCAGCCTGCCTCAGCCTCAGCCTGCATCAGCCTTAGCCTCGGCCTCAGCCTGCCTCAGCCTCAGCCTGCTGCGCTCCCGCATAGTCCTGCGGCCTCAGCCTCAGCTTGCCTCGGCCTCAGCCTGCCTCAGCCTCAGCCTGCATCAGCCTCAGCCTCAGCCTCAGCCTGCCTCAGCCTCAGTCTGCTGCGCTCCCGCATAGTCCTGCGGCCTCATGCAGCAGCCTCAGCCTTAGCCTGCATCAGCCTCAGCCTGCCTCAGCCTCAGCCTGCTGCGCTCCCGCATAGTCCTGCGGCCTCAGCCTCAGCCTCAGCCTCAGCCTCAGCCTCAGCCTCAGCCTCCTGCGCTCCCGCATAGTCCTGCGGCCTCAGCCTCAGCCTCAGCCTCAGCCTGCATCAGCCTCAGCCTCAGCCTCAGCCTCAGCCTCAGCCTCAGCCTCAGCCTGCCTCAGCCTCAGCCTGCTGCGCTCCCGCATAGTCCTGCGGCCTCAGCCTGCCTCAGCCTCAGCCTGCATCAGCCTCAGCCTCAGCCTCAGCCTGCCTCAGCCTCAGCCTGCTGCGCTCCCGCATAGTCCTGCGGCCTCAGCCTGCCTCGGCCTCAGCCTGCATCAGCCTCAGCCTCGGCCTCAGCCTGCCTCAGCCTCAGCCTGCTGCGCTCCCGCATAGTCCTGCGGCCTCAGCCTGCACCAGCCTCAGCCTGCATGCCTCAGCCTCAGCCTCAGCCTGCATCAGCCTCAGCCTCAGCCTTAGCCTCAGCCTGCCTCAGCCTCAGTTTGCTGCGCTCCCGCACAGTCCTGCGGCCTCAGCCTGCCTCAGCCTCAGCCTGCATCAGCCTCAGCCTCAGCCTGCCTCAGCATCAGCCTGCTGCGATTCTGAAGCAAAATGTGGCGGGGTCCCAGGCGAGAGCACGATTCCAGCATTAAATGTAAGGAAGTCTCAGGAGAGAGCGCGATTCTGAAGCAAAATATGGCCGGGGCTTAGGCGAGAGCACCATTCCAGCACAACATGTAAGGAAGTCTCAGGCGAAACGCCCGCCCGCGGTTTTCCCCGGCACCCGCACAGACCCCCCTGGGGAGTCAAGATGCTCTCTTTGGACACCACTAGAAACCTATTAGTCTTCGCTGTTAGGTAAATAGGCAAACAATGGTCTGGGGACGAGTTTGACCATTTTTGAACATTTCTTTGTAATGCTGTTCGACTATTTTGAAGTTGTCGTCTAAAATCCCCCTGCAGGGGGACACGCCCGACCGGATGCTAATGTCATGCGTGCGTCGCCCCCAGAGGGGCGGGCGACGCGCGCGCTCTCGGAAGTCGCACAGTCTGCGCTCCGTGGCGGGGGCGCTCTCTGGCCACACGGTCTCGGGCAGCGATGCACCATGAGTTTTTGTGCTGCCTGTCGGTCTCGTTCAACCGATGGTGATGATGATGATGATGATGATGATGATGATGATGATGATGATGATGATGATGATGATGATGATGATGATGATGATGATGATGAGGATGAGGATGAGGATGAGGATGATGATGATGATGATGATGAGATGATGATGATGATGAGGATGAGGATGAGGATGAGGATGAGGATGAGGATGAGGATCAGGATGAGGATGAGGATGAGGATGAGGATGAGGATGAGGATGAGGATGAGGAGGAGGAGGAGGAGGAGGAGGAGGAGGAGGAACGCGCCCAACCGGTCCATCCCCATCCCCATCCCCCTCGAGACCCCCACCAAGTTACCACCCCAGTCGGGGATGCACCCCTCGGAGCCCGAAGAGGACGACCCATATCCCCATCCAGGGGGGCAAATCGGCCAGCGGGGCCCAGGTTGCGCCGCTGGGGAGACGGCTATCGGTTGGACGATGCTCCTCTACAGAGCGCGCCGCCGGAAGAGATCACGACCACGGCCCCCGACGCCGCAGCGCCCCGTGAGGGCTCCAGGGCCCGAGGCTTGGGGGAGGACGCCCGGGTCTGGCGCCGGGATCTCGGGGCCCCTCCTTCGCCCCCCTCCCCCAGGACGTTCGGCCCAGCAGAAGTATTCCACCACCCACCAAACCACCCCAACCCAGCCCGAAGGCCTCAATCTGCCCTCCATCTCCAGTGGGGGGGGGGTCGGGGAACACTGAAAAAACACGTGGACCCCGTACCCCTCCCAACCCGAAGCTCGAGTCAAGTTCGTGTCTTCGGGTTGGGTTGGGGTGGTCTGGTAGGTAGTGAAGTAGACCACATCCCAGCCACGCGCAGAGGGTGGTACGGGGGTGGGGAGAAGGCTTCTTGGAAGCGCCCCTGCTTCTTGGAAGGCGCGGGCCTCGTCTGCAGATGTAGGGCCGGCGCCTTCTGAGAAGCAGCCTCCGTCTAAGAGGCCTTTCCTCCCCCTGCCCCCACTTGTGCGCGCCGCCGAAGGATGCCACATCATCCCTCCCTCATCGCTGCCCAGTGTACTTCCCATCGTACTTTCCATTGTCGTGCTTTCCATCGTACTTTCTCATCGTACTCTCCATCGTACTTTCCCATCCATCGTACTTTCCATTGTCGGCGTTTGGCCGCGTCGGAGCTCTGCGTGGCTGTCAGGGGCTCACGGCCTCGCGCGCCCTGCCCACGCGGGCACAGGCACGCGCGCCTCGCCGCACGAGCCTGCACTGGCGCCTCGCTCGTTCGCTCGCCCCTCGCCCAGGATCGGGGGTTGCTAAAGGCGCACCTGGCCCAAGGTGCCCCCATCTTTTCGCTTCATTCTGGAGCCCCTCGGGCCTCCTGGGCCTCGTGAGGGGTGCTGTGGAGGCCGTGGGTGCCTCCTTGGGAATCCTGGGGGCACCTTGGGCCAGGGGCACTTCTAGCAACACCCGACAGGACATCATGATACCATTGCCCATTGATCGCCGATGGGGGCCCGATAGCCCCACCCCGCCCAGGGAGGTGCGGATTCGCTATCGGGGCCCCATCGCCGATCTATCGGCGATGTATCGCCGATTCCAGGTCGATGCATCCCCCCCTTTGCCTATCACCCTATCGTTGCCCCTCAGCCCAGGACATCATGATTCCCTACGTGTACAACATCCTGCCCGCGCTCTATGACAGCCCCGCGTGCGGGCCCGGGCTGCTCGAGTGGCAGAACCTGAAGTCGGTGCGCCCGCCGGCCTGGCCTAACAAATCGGGCACGTCCCTCTACAGGTTATGGCGCCAACATCGCTGAGCGGATTTCGTTTTGAAAACGAAAGGATGGGCCCGGAGTGTCCTGGAGAAATTCGTTCCGGATTTCGAGGTGAATTCCGTGCGGATTTTTTTGGGCCAGGAATGAAGACTACAGCAAACATCCACGCCACAATCATTTCGTTTTTCACTCGCCGTTTCGGGGGTTTGCCTCGACAGAAGTCCACGCAAAAGTCCGCTGCAGCACTTCTGCAAGGTCGGTGCAGTGATACAGGAGGAGAAATCAACAATAGCAAAAACATAATCAGGGGACGATCTTTTGAGCATTTGTTGGTTATTCTTGATTTTTGGTTGACCATTTTTCCCCATATCCTAAGATGTGGTTCTTGTTATTTCTTGGACGCCGCCGACTCCAGAGAACAAGAACACACCCAGGACACAGACTTACTCATGCACAGACTTACTCATACTCAGACTTCTCATACCCAGACGTACTCATACACAGATTTACCCATACTCAGACTTACTCATACCCAGACTTACTCATACACAAACTTACTCATACTCAGACTTACTCATACTCAGACCTACTCATACTCAGACTTACTCATACCAGACGTACACATACCCAGACGTACTCATACACAGACTTACTCATACTCAGACATACTCATATCCAGACGTACTCATATACAGACTTACTCATACTCAGACCTACACATACTCAGACCTTCTCATAGTCTGAGTTACTCAACACACGGGAGATTTTGAGAATGTCTCAGGCGGGGCGCTGGCTTCAGCACCCCTAAGGGGAGCCGCCAGGGGTGTTCTCACGGGCCCGTTCGCTGCCAGTTTGTGGGGATGTCTCAGGCGGTTTGCTCGTTTTTATGTCCAACATCCTTTGCTCTCAGAGCAGATTGTGAGGATGTCTCAGGCGGGGCACTGGTTTCAGCACACCCAAGGGGAGCCGCTAGGGGTGTTCTCACAGGCCCGTTCGCGGCCAGTTTGTGGGGATGTCTCAGGCGGTTTGCCCATTTTCATGCCCAACATCCTTTGCTTTCAGAGCAGATTGTGAGGATGTCTCAGGCGGGGCACTGGTTTCAGCACCCCTAAGGGGAGCCGCCAGGGGTGTTCTCACGGTCGCGTTCGCGGCCAGTTTGTGGGGGAGCAGATTGTGAGGATGTCTCAGGCGGGGCGCTGGTTTCAGCATCCCTGAGGGGAGCCGCCAGGGGTGTTCTCACGGGCCCGTTCGCGGCCAGTTTGTGGGGATGTCTCAGGTGGTTTGCTCGTTTTCATGCCCAACATCCTTTGCTTTCAGAGCAGATTGTGAGGATGTCTCAGGCGGGTCGCTGGTTTCAGCACCCCTAAGGGCAGCCGGGGTGTTCTCACGGGCCCGTTCGCGGCCAGTTTGTGGGGATCTCAGGCGGTTTGCTCGTTTTCATGCCCAACATCTTTTGCTTTCAGAGCAGATTGTGAGGATGTCTCAGGCGGGGCACTGGTTTCAGCACCTCTAAGGGGAGCCGCCAGGGGTCAGGACGATCATGAACAGACGCTCACTATGGCATGCCATAAAACATGAGATGCACATATAGGGAGCTCCACACAGTGAGTATTTTTTTGTTCTTCCAAAATTCCGCCTGTAGGGGGACATGCCCGACCCGAGCCTGGCCCCGCGCAGCCCGCCGCCTGGCCCCCCGGCGGCCTCCCGAGCGGCGGGGCTCTGGTCCTCCCAGATGGGGTCCTTCGAGTGCTGTATCGGCACACGTGGCTCCTCCTCCTCCTCCTCTTCCCTCTCCTCCTCCTCCTCCTCCTCCTCCTCCTCCTCCTCCTCCTTCTCCTTCTCCTTCTCCTCCTCCTCCTCCTCCTGTGAGGGTGCCGTTTTTCTTCGAATTCAAGAGACCAGCCTCCCAGCACCGGCGCGCCCCAGGGCGGCTCGCCAGGCCTGCGAAGCATGCAATCAGCAACCGGTGGTTTGGCAGCCGTGCATGGTGAGGGGAAGCATCAGCGCAGCGTGCACCCGAGTTGTGAGCACTTTGGCCCGTGAGCCTCCTCGAGCGGCGCGCGTCGCAGCCACCGCACTTTTCATTTCAATCCTGAGAAAGCATTGTTTTTGGTGGTCGGAGGATCGCGCCGCACCACTGATGCATCGGCGATGCAGCTCGATTTGAAGCCCGATTTTCTCCACGCCGACGTCGCCGACGCATTGGCGATGCGGCGCGATCCTCCGAGTCCATCTACTTGGACCCCATTTGGGAGGCCTCTGGGGGAGGGGAACAGGAGGGGGGCGTTCGAGCCTCGAGATCTGCGAAGAGGGCCCGAGGCAGGGTGAAGCAAGGAGGGCCCTGCGCTCCCCTGGCTGCAGGCGATGCGTGAGCATGATCATGCAATCCGGCACGGGCCCCAGTCAGTGAGTTAACTCAGGAGGGAAAATTACTCACTGCTTGGAGCCCCCCATTTGTGCATCCTTTAGAGGTGATATTGTAGTTGGGATATTAAAAAATGAGCGTCTAGCCATATGAGCCGTATGCGCATCTCATATTGTAGGGTAGTGCTATGGTGAACATATGCTTATGTAGCTGAAACCAGCGCCTCGCTCGAGACATCCTCCACATCTGCTCCGAAAGCGAAGGATGTTGGGACAGAAGACAAGCCAACTGCTTGAGACATCCCCACAAAACGGCCGCGAACAGGACCGTGTCAGATCCCTCGGCGGCTCCCCTTAGGTGTGCTGACCCCGCCTGAGACATCCTCACAATCTGCTCTCCAAGCGAAGGATGTTGGGACAGAAAGCGGGCAAACCGCTTGAGACATCCCCACAAAACGGCCGCGAACGGGACCGTGTCTCCCCTTGGGGACGTGAAAATGAGCGCCTCGCTCGAGACATCCTCCAAATCTGCTCCGAAAGCGAAGGATGTTGGGACAGAAAACGGGCAAACCGCTTGAGGCATCACCACAAAACGGCCGCGAACGGGGCGTGCGTGAGTCTCAGCATGAGTAAGTCTGAGTAGGAGTAGGTCTGAGTATGAGTAGGTCTGAGTATGAGTAATTGTGTGTGTGTGTGAGGAAGTCAGGGTATGAGTAAGTCTGAGTGTGAGTCAGTCTGTGCATGAGTAAGTCTGGGTATGAGGAGGAGAGGGGATGAGAAGGAGAAGGAGGAGAAGTCGGCGGCGTCCAAGAAATTATTCACTGCGTGGAGCTCCCCATATGTGCATCTATTCGCAGGGACCTGTCCGCCGTAAATGTCTAGGCGCAAGAGCTTTCGAATAAAAACGGGCTTCAGTTGTGACGGTCTGGTCATGAATCTAATTGCGAATGAGCTGGAGTGTGAATGAGCCTCAGTAGTACGAGCGCGTCTCTGCGCATGAGCCTGGGGCCTCCTGGGGCCTCCTGAAACCTACAGGGGGGTCCTGGGGCCTCCAGGAACCTCTTGGGGCCTCCTGGGGCCTCCTGGGACCTCCCAGGGAGGCTTCGTGCCCCAGGAGAGGCCCAATCTATAGCAACCGACGTGCATCAAACATTGCGGATTGGAGCCACAGGAGAAGGACAATCTATAGGAACACACGTACATCACCAAGGACTCGTGCCCCAGGAGAGGCCCAACATATAGGAATATAAGTAAAACATTCAGGATTGTGTTCACAGGAGAAGGACAATCTATAGAAACATACGTATAACGTCAAGGATTCGTGCTCCTTTTTTAAATGACCAGCACAGCTCGCGCTGCACGAGCCGTACGCAGGCGGGCAGGGGGGCGCACCGCCCTAGAGGGGCGGGCCGAGAGGCCGCAAAACGGCGGCCTCGACCGCAGTCGCCTCTGCCGCGCCAAAGGGTATGCGCCGTCAGCTGAGGCGGCCAGGCGAGCCACCAACCAGCCCGTGCCGAGCCCCAAAGGCCCAGACCACCGAAGGCGCTCCCCTCACTCGGCCAGGCGCTTCCCCGTCTTGGGGTCCAACCCTGCCTTGATATTCTCGATCTTCATGTTGCGCTGCCTCTGCGCATTGCCCGTGACGACGTCGCACGTCTTGCCGAGCGAACGGTGCTTCCCTTTGACCTCTTTGGCGTAGGCCTTGCATCGGGTGCACACGCGGTAGCCGCTGATGCTCAGCAGCAGATGCCCAGCGCCGTCTGCCTCCCTGCTGCCTGACCCTGCAGGCTCCGCGTCCACCGGCATGTCGTCCTGGCGCCCCTCGGCCACCGCCTCACGGCTGCGAGCCTCGCGGGCCGCGGCCACCGCTCGCATGAGGGCGGCGCCAGGAGAAACGTCCTGTCCGCTGCTGCTGCTGCTGCTGCTGCTGCTGCTGCCCGCAGCCGCCGCTGGGCGCCGCAACGCACTCGGGCCCACGGCTGGCGGCACGCTCGCGGCTGCAGGGGAGTCGACCTGCATGCCGTCGCAGCGCGGCGCTGGGGCCTCAGCAACGGTCTGCGAGGGGGCAGCCGCAGAGCCCCTCGGGGAAGGCGGCGGACCGTCCTGCTCCTCCTGCGCGAGCCTGCGGGCCACCGCGACCGCCACCGACGCTGCGCCAGCAGAGGCCAGCGCAGAGACCGCGGGCCTGTGCCTCGCCCCGCTCGCCACAGGCGCGAACGGCTTGCCGACGCACGGGCCCTCCAGCAGCCGCTTGATGCTCAAATCCGTGTACGCCTTCTTGAGGCAGACTCTGCAGTGGACTCCACCTCCTGCCACCTTGATCGGGTCGTGCCTGGTGACGCTGAGCGGCGGGCCCTTGTGGTTTGGCTTGCAGCTCGGGTCGGCGTCCAGCTTCAGGTCGGCGGCCTCACTACCCGCGCGCGCGACCCAGTGCACGACTCCGTCGAGCGTGAGCGAGCGCCGCTGCCACGCCTCGTGGAGCTCCAGCGGCGCCCGCACGGCAGCAGCAACCTCCTTCGCTGCACGGTCGGCCTCCCGGTCGCCTCTCCAGTCGCGGGCTGAGAAGGCACCGTTCCGTACCATGGCCACAGTGGCGTGAGCCTTTACCTTCTTGATTGTGAGCGCCTGGGGCCCAATGTCTCCGAAGTCGTCAAGG